ACACACACACACACACACACACACACACACACACACACGCGCGCGCTCACACGCGCACACGCACACACATGCACATTCACTTATAAGGATACGTTGCGTCACGAATTTTTGACCGCATCGTAATATCCATTTGGACCGTTGACGTGACCAGGTCATCATCATCCGGTGCCTTGCCGACTGGCGAGGGCGATCATGGACCTCCAGGTCAGTAACCCCAAATCCCACGTGACGTAAGAGAGTGAAGGCGAAAGCAGGATAAACAATAATTATAATTGTCCCGGGTGATCTGAGACAATTGTTTGACGACGAGGTGGAATCAGGCGCTCGTCAATGTTTGGGTCTGTGGAGTTACATGTATTGGTATCATCTTAAAACTTGTTCATTTGGCTTTCTTTTGGTGATAGGAATATCCATTTATCTTGAAGAGAAGTCAAGATACTTTAGATTGAAGAAGGTTGGGTCGCCTGGATTCAAAGGTAGAATTGGCGAGAAACTGGCCGCCCAAGTTTGGCGACTCCCATAGTTTGAGAGTCCTTGGTAATTGAATGTTTACATTTGTGTGCCTTTAATTAGGATTTTATCATAAATATGTACACAGAAATGTATTTTTTAATGGAGATCAAATGTATTGAGCCAAAAACAAAAACAAAGTTGACTAAAAATTGCGAAACCAACGGAAAAATGTCCGTTGTTTTTTTGTTTTTAACGAGGGCCTGATTTCACCATGATGCGTCACAATTGTCAAGGCAGATCTGAGAGAATTGTTTGACGACGAGGTGGAATCAGGCGCTCGTCAATGTTTGGGCCTGTGGAGTTACATGTATTGGTATCATCTTAACACTTGTTCATTTGGCTTTCTTTTGATGATAAGAATATCCATTTATCTTGAACAGAAGTCAGGATACCTGAGATGGAAGAAGGTGGGGTCGCCTGGATTCAAAGGTAGAATTGGTGAGAAAATGGCGGCCAAAGTTTTTGTTTTCATTGCTTGATAGTCCGTTGAAACTGAAAGCATACATTTTCGGTGCCTTTAATCAACGTTTGTAAGTTTAATCCATCAATAAATAATATGTTTTTAACAGGTTAACAACGGTGTTAAGCAAAAAAAAAAAAAAAAAAAAAATTCAACAAAAACACCCAACCCAAACTGGCAGAAAATTTTTAGTTTCTCCAATTTCATTATTTTGACGAGCGCCTGATTTCAGCACACTGCCTCACAGATGAAGGCACGAACTAGAACGTTCATGTCCACATGACGTGTATCCGTGTATCCTCTAACACCCTCCCCCCTTCCCCTTTCCACTCACTCACTCCCCATACACAAACACAAAAGTAACTCAACCCCTCCGGGCGCAATCTGCTCTCAATTGACTTCACACCCTCGCCTACACGATTTCATCACTAATACGGGGTGCCCACTACTGCTGGATCGGGCCCATCGCTCGACTCGATCGCCTGAAACGGACAACAAACATGTTTGTTTTTGAGGCGATCGAGTCGGGCGATCGGTCGATCCCATCCGAAGTAGGCACCCCGTATTAGGTAGCAAGCTGGTTCGACATGTTGACACCTTAGAGTAACGAAGTTCTATCTGATATCATCTTTGGCCGTTTTGAGTTACTATAAGAAACCAAACGTTTCTATCTGCTCTATGAAAATCGTAAGATTCTTCGGAGTTGTTCACAAGATATTCAAAGATTTGCATTAGAAAAAGCTTGACAAAATTGATGTAAAACTCTGGGCGCCGGACAAGTTCACCAGTCGACGTATATAGAAGTACTTCTCTGTTATGGTATTATCTGAAAGAACCCCAAAAAGAATACTATTTTTCCTTTCCACGTTCTAAACATTAAAAATAGACGTGAAGTTCATTTTCTACAATGCAGTTATGGCAATACGAGCAGATTTCCTGTTGCAATACGTATTGAAGTGTATAGATGTAAGCTGTTAACATATGAGTGCCAAGGGGTGGGTGTCAACTGAGAAGTCTTTACAGGGAATCAGACTTAGACTGCTCACCTCTCTAGCTTCAACAGCACAAGGTCTGCTTCGACTATCAAGGCACCCCAAAACAGCAGGTCACAAAGGAGTGACAAACATACAAAAGATGTAGAGGAAAATGACAATAGTAAGGGTCAGGAAAGAAAAAGCAGTAGTTCCCTGTTGTAGATCAGGCACAGTTATGAGCGTGACAAGAATCAGCCCATTTACAATTTTACTATGCTTGAACGAGATATGTCCCCCCTTGGAGAATGGCCTAAAGACACTTCACATCCTCTTCAGACTCCCACACAAACAGAGGCAGGTGTCAGAAGAGAAACTACATCCGAGTATAATTATAAAAGTGGGAAAATTGCGAGCCATTCGTATATAGGCAAATGCATGTACACGATAAAACAAAACACATACACAAAAAACCCAACAAAAAACAGCGACAATAAAATTTAGCACATGTCCCATTCGGAAACCGGGGTGGTAATTTGGTTGGCACATGATACACGAAAAAGTTGCTGAAGCTGTTGTGATTCCGCGTGGTGTGGTTGGTGGCCGTGCTATTGAGTATTGTAATTTTATAGGGGCGTGATTGCCTAGTGTTATGATACATGTACCGTGTGTTCAGCTTGTGATAACGACGATTTGCCAATTGTGTTCTCGGCTGTACCCGACACGATTTAACATCTAAGAAAAGAAAAGCGCCTATTTTCCTCAGGCTAACCTCGGGGATCTTTGGCATCTCATACACTGACCACGTCACAAATGAGGAAGTGCGCAGTAGAGTGAAACAACACATGAGTCATTATGATGACTTGCTGTCTACTGTGAAACGAAGAAAACTGAATTAATGGTAAAGCCAAGTAACAAGATTATGTGGCCTAGCCAAGACCATTCTTCAGAAAACTCTGCAGTGGAGGAGAAGGAGGGGTAGGGAAAAGAAGAGCTGGTCCGACAACATTGCGGAGTGGACAGGGAAATCCTTCGCCCAAATTCAGGCAACCACAAAAAAAAGATAACGTGAAAAGTGGAGGCACCTAAAGAAACTTTCTATCATACAGCGCCCCTACGATCCTCGTGGATGTTGGGATCTTTTTTTTTTGGTAAGTGTTTTACAGCGCTCGCAACTGCATAAGGTCATATGAGCGCGCGGGACACATCTAATACTTTTAGTTTGTAGGGAATTTTGAATTTTGCCCGGATGGCGGCCGAAGCCTACTCTTATCGATTTTAGACCACCAAGGGATCTTTAACATGCGCAGCTTGCACACGGGCCCTCCGAGATTTTTCACCCTTGTCCGAGAAGGCTATGTGTAGATCTTTCCTACCAGAAGATCAGGGGCGTAGCAGAAAGACAGCTGTAAGAAGGAGTCCAGGAGTAGCAGTAGAACGGCTGCAGAAAGAGTCAGGAGCCCAGAGGAGGGGGCAAAGGAGGTGAAGTGGGTGGGGGCAGAAAGAGGAGACGAAAGCAGACGACAGAATATTTCTAGAGAGCAGGAAAGGAAGTGAAAGGAGACAATTTTAGAAAAGAAAATTTTTCGGTCGCTACCCGGATTCCAACCCGGAACCTTTGAATGAAGTGACAGTGAACCACAAGGCTACCCACGCGCTCCTGAAAGTGAAAACTCGACAATAGTTAGAGAAACGATATGCGAGGTAACGTGATGAAATCAGGCACTCGTCAAAAACAATGTAATCAAGGAAACAGGCTTTTTTTAATCATTAGACAAATTTTTCCGAATTTTCTTCTTTTTTTTTTGGCTTCTATGCTCATTTAAAAACACATTTCTGCTGTACCTTTTTCTGAAAAGCGTTGGTTAAAAGCACAAAAAACGTAAATTTGCTGTTCCCAAAGAATCTCAAGCTTTGGAAGTTACCAGAGTTTGGTAGCCATTTTCTCACTAATTTTACCTTTGAAATCAGGTGACCCTCACCTCCTTCATTCGCAAATATCTCGACTTATATTCAAGATAAATGGATTATTTTGTTCATCCACAGCAAGACATAAAAATTGACGAGAGCCTGATTCCACCGCGTCGTGACACATATGTTATGAGTATAATATTATCAACATTATGGTTGTGAGGTGGGCGTGGTCCCGGGGGTTTTGAACATGGGAGGGCAGTGTGTGTGTTGGGGGGGAGGGGGGGGGGTAAACTGCTAAATATTTAATCTTTGAGCAAACATATTCAAAACGAGATCCAGCTGAAACGCAGTGGAAAACAATCATAGCTCAAGTAAAGATGGAAAGCATCTAGAGGGCAAAAAAAAATTAACCTCAGGATTCCTTTCAGGAATATCGATTGCTACTTGATAATTGAGGATCCTGTTTGAAAAAAAAGCTTAAGAAAAGTGTCTCCTTTACACAATACTTGTCAACCCTCAACACAACATAGGTAAACTGATGTTCCAAAACACCGATGTACCAGATAAAACATTCTCATGTACAAAGTACTGGTGTACCAGACAGAACATTCACAACATTCACATGTACAAAATACTGTTGTACCAGATAAAACATTCACATGTACA